CGTTAGCAACCTAAATTTATGTGAGCTCTTAACTCCCTCCAACGAACTAAAGGTAAACGGCCTTCTGTCAGCAGTGTTACCATGAATCTTTTGGACCTGTAACAGTTTTTCTGTGCAGATCTCATCTATTAGCTGCTTTTTAAAAACCATCAGATAATGAATTTTTAATTAATATCCCAGACAAAAGAATATTAATATTGCTCCTGTTGCAATGCTGAGATGATACACACTGTCCAAACCATATTATCTAAAAAGAAAATAACATTAGCAATGACGTGTAGTACAACCTTTGGTCCCACAATTCTGAGACTGAAACTTCTTGTTCATACAATCACAGATTTCATAGTGCTCAGTAACTACCATTTCAAAATACAGCTTCCTTGCAACTGCTTTTTTAAGGAGACAGTTTTAGTGCATAATCAATGAGTTAAACCCATAGTGTCAAAATTAAATAATTTTGACAACTGAAAGCCAAAACCCAATTTTTTTCCCCTAAAGGAATGACATGAGCTGGAGAGCTGCAATTCAGTCCTGTAAGCCACGTGAAAAGTCTTCCAACGTTTCCTCACTGGAGAATCAGCCATTTATAGCATTATTGTGAATTGTTCTTCCTTTTAATATGTTATCAACTTTAGATTTGTGTGTATGTACCTGTTGGGTTTTCTTCTGGGCCCAGCATTAGTTCTTTATGTTGCTTTATACAACCTCATACCTACATTTTAAGGAGGGTACTGAATAACAAAAGATGGCATAATAATGCAAATTTCAATTTGTCTTTCTCTGCTTGCTTTTCACATTTGTCAATATTCTCGCTTCCCAATTGTTACCGTTTCGCTCCCCCACTTCAGCGTTTTGTATCTTCACTTTCCCTTTAAAGAAACAGAATTTTTAACTGCACAGACTTAGGGTGTCCCCCTCCTCTCAACCCCTTCCCTGAGGTAAGTTCTCCGCTAACTTGCCAAGGGGCAGGCGCGCACCAAGAAAGCTTTACAAGTCTAATGAAATAGTTATGGGCTTTTGCAAGTGTAACTTACTCCACCTTCACTCCCCTCTCCCTGCTTACCCGGCAGAGAAGCAAACACTGCTGCTGGGAGTACAATTTTCCCCAAGGTACTTGCACCACCACAGCCGTGCCAGCCAGGGACTGCACTCCTCAGCCCCCAGCAGCAGAGCTCTGCCAGACGGCCTCTCCTGCAGACACAGCCGTGCTCTCTCCTCCTGGCTGCCTACCCTTCGCGAGCTGATGCGGAGACCCTTAGGCGTGACATCACTACCATCTTTCCATCTCGTCACATGGCATCTTCATTTAGTTGTGGTGGGTTCGATCTGTCATTACCTCTGATCATGGCAGCCCTTCCTGCCAGCTTACTGTTCTGGGTGACTCCTCTGCATAGGTAGACGACACGCTTGCTTCTATGCAGTTTAAAGCCAGACAAGTGTATAAATCTACATTTGCAACACAAAATAGAGACACTAATGGTGGCTATTTGTTTCCCTCTCTGCTAAATACTCTCTGCCCACAGGTCAGAGGACACTCTCTCTTGCTGAGAAGTGTTGCCAGTCCCGGAGGGCTGGCTGCTTGTTCCCTGCTGCCACACAAACTGTCCCGTGGAACAGTGAACTGCTCTGAGCCTGCCAAGGGCCTTTGGATGCACAATTATTTGACATATTTTAGGCTACGAACTGAGATTTTTGAGACGGAGCTTACCTCAGAGGGAGCTGTCAAGCTTTATGTGGATCAGGTTCTAAAGCAAATGTAACTAATGGGTTTTGGAACCAAGCTCCAACATGAACTTCTAGATGTCTTAGAACCAGTTTTGTTTTAGGAAACTAATTAGATGCTAGAGACTAAAAGCACAAGGAACACTGAAATAAATAGGTTTTGTCCCTTTCCTACAGACATTCTTGGAGATACTACTGTCCTGTGACCAAAGCACAGTGGATGCCTTTTTTTCTTCAGTCTCATTTATTTAGTAGCATACACACTTCAGAGTAACAAACACTCAACCAATACAGTCAATGTCAAAAGTGACCACGGTCAGCATTGCATTGTAGTGTTCAGAACGGACGCACTGTGGACGATACAGGCCATTTGATCTCAGTACCTTAAGAATAACAAATAATAACAACAGCAATTAAAAAAAAAAAATAGCAAGAGCCCTCAGATACTTAAGGGTTTGGTCCAGCTCCCATGGAAATCTTTCTCTGTAACAGGAACTGGATCAGATGCTAAGTGAATTCCCCCCTTGTGTAAAATTAAGCAGGATTTAATTTTTACCACTTTGGTTACATTTCATCCAAATTTGTATCCTTGTGGAGCCCAAACACCCATAATTTTAAAACTCAGCTGATGTATTTCTTTGTGCATTTCTTTCTGTATTGCACCTTCCTCCAAAGAATCTCGCAGCATCTTGCACACAATAACGAAGGTCAGCCTCACGCCATTCCTGGGAGGTAAGCGGGTACTATTTCCATCAGTAAAATGAGAACAAAACTGAGGCCTGGGATAGTTGTCCAAGGCCAAAACCCCAAGTCACTCACCAAGCTGAGGGAGAGCAGCCGGACTGCTAGGGTCACACAGGAACGCAGCAGCCACAGCAGTAAGCATTGCTGCATCTAACTCGTGAGTTTAAAGACCTTGGTGCCCAAGTCAGAGGTCAGCTGTGCGGCACCAAAGTGCCTCTGGGCCAGCACATCTTGCCATGCCTTGGGAACACACAGGTGGCCGATGACTCTGGAGCGAAGCGGTATCTCAGCGGAGGCGTTAAAGAACTACATTCTGGACTCTTATGTGAACACATACCTTGGTTACCATGCATCAGCCCCTCTGTGTTACATGCCTGTGCAAAGGCATCACGTTGACCCTCTGGTAAATATAAGCTTGTTCCAGGCAGTTTACCCCACAGCGAAAGCAGGCTGCGCTGCTTCCTCACAGTAGCAGGTGAGCGTACACAGACGGGCACTCTGGGCCACCCAATGTGAGTCAAGGTATCTAACTCACCCAGTGGTCGTTTGCTCATGAGCTCACAGCCTCCAGCCCCTCAGAGCTCCAGCGCTCAGCTGCAGTCCTGCACTTGCCATTTGCCAACGAAAAGCTGTCTCTCCTTTTCTGCTTTCCCCTGACAGCAGCAGAAGATTGTGGCCTCTTCCATTCTCACCCCTCAGTGAGCCAAAGGGCCCTTTCAAAAACCAGCTTGCTAGAACTACTGATCATCTAGAATGAGTTTCCAGGCCAGGGTCTGCTATCGCAGAGGTCTTCTTTTCCACCTCCCCCCCCAACCTTTTCAACTACTGCAGAGGAAGGGATACTTCATGTTTTCCCCAAGAAAACTGCAAGCCATCCAGGTGCTAGCAGCTGTCAGGGTTTTTGAAGCTACTGGTACTGCTGCTTCCAGTTCTCCTTTAGAACTGGACGGGCATTCTAAAAGTTTGTCTCAAATTCTCAACTGACATTTAAGCATCAACTTTTACCCTCTAAAGGTCCCCTCTAGAAAGTTACACAGGTGCAAAAGATTCACATATGTGGTAACAGAAAAAAGAAATTTAACTCTGAAGATTAATTAGGCAAACCACTAATTCTATCAACTTGCAACTGCAGCCTCATTGAAGAGGTATTGTTATTAAAGTCCTCCCCTGTGAGACCGATTTACTTCGCATTCTCCCTAAGCACTACTAACCGATGGCTTAGCTGCAGGAAAGGAGGACGACTCTTTTTTTTCTTTAAATGTATCACATTCACCACAGATTAATTCATCATCTCATAGCAGTCCAAAAGTCAGGAGGCATCTGGAATGATAGTATCTGTGCTCTCTACTGCAGGCTCGCTGTCACTTGTTAAAAAAAAAAAGTGTAAACCCTCCGAAACATCCAAGTGGAAAATTCCTTAACATACTACCATGAAAATAAAACTGAGGGGGACTCTGGGAGGCCACAGCAGTCCTCTGAATTTGCAGTGAACTGCAAAAATAATTACCTGTTTCAAACACCTTCTGTTTCAGGGTGAGATGCTTCCACGTGTCGTTACTTCCTACAGAATAGCCACTGTGTCTTCTGTCAGGTCACAACTGAGCTGGAATTTTTTAATATTGCTGTTTTGTTTAGAGCTGATGAGAAGGTTATTAAATCTGACCTCTTAGTACAGTAGTGTGTTATTCTAAAGTAACTCCTTTTAGAAATTATTTTAGGCTGTTCAATTCTAATTACCAATGTTACAGATACATTTCGTTCCAGATCTGCACTCTACAGTCTTTTTTTGCTATCACAATTATTATTGAAATAGCAGTTTCACAAAGCATGAAGTCACCTTCATATATCCTAAAGTTCTCAGAATCTCTTCTGAACACAAGACACTGGCAAAAGACAGCAATTTCTGATCAATGTGCATTACCAGCTTTAGATGTTGAAAGAGGATTAACAATCAAATAGCAATATAAGTCTTGTCCTCATTTTGAAAACTGCATCATCACATTATTAATGTTAAAACCTGGAATGTGCGTGAACGTGTCAATACTGATAGTATTTATACTGCTAGTATTTAAAGAACTGTTCAAATGACTAGAGGCAACCAACAGAGAAGGCAGGTGAAGCCATTAAAAGAAATTACTTCAGTCTCTCTTGATTTTAACCTGAACACTGTGCATTTTCTGTGCCTGGGCCACAGAAAAAGAAGAATGAACCACAGATTGCGCTGCGATTCCAGGCAGCGGCTGGTGGATGTGATGTTGATGTTGCCATCCCCTCCCCCAAACTGCCCTCAGTCAACAGCCGATACCTCGGAGGAAGGATGCCTGGGAACCACCTCATCACTCGTGTAATGCTGCGAATGCAGAACCATCACCTTCCCGATGGCTGCGCCAGTCTGCACACGTCAGTGGCAGCGTCGTGCTTAGGAACAGGAACATGGCCAAGAAGCCACAGGCATTAGGAGACAGTCAAACCACGATCTTCAGAGATCACATTGGTGGCTGGCTACTACTGCGAGCGTGTGCGCACGCGTATAGGGGTTTTATCTTTAAAAATAAACAAGCCTTGAAAAAACACTTAGTTCCCTGGTCTGTGTGCGAAGGAGTTATTCCTGATTTTCGGAACTGCAGTTCAGCTGCACAAGGCCAAACTTGCCAAGCTAGGCACTTTTCCAACAGCCCACCCAGTCTGAAAGTCAAATGTTTTTGGAGACAATAGGCTGCTATTCTCTCCCTAGAGTATTCGTATTCTCCTGAGAGGCTAAATAGAAAGCAAAGGCTGTTCTTGGGTAGAAGTGAATCGGGGCTTGGGTAGGGAAGAGGAGGAACGGTCAACAGCTGTTACCACATCCAGCCACACAAACTGCTGTCTCCGTTTGCTCCAGGTTTCGTGTGATTATCACCCATTTCCACCTTGCGCACATCATAACACAATGCAGCAGAAGTTGCTGGTCCAGCCTATAGTGTACACAGGGGAAAAAAACCACTCTTGCTGGTTTCACACCTATGCAGTTCCCTGAAAAATTGTTATTCCTACCCTGAATCTCCAAGCACTTGCTCTGGTTCACCAAGAGGTTATCTGGAGTCGCACCTGTTGGCCAGAAATCAGAATCATTCTGGTTTACCATACAGACCTCTTGACTCATGCTGGTGTGATTCCTGAGTATGGAGATCTTCACTCTCTGAGGACCAGTCTGAAGTCAGGCTGGCGCAACACAGACCAATCTGGAGTTAGTTAGATTCATAGAGGGCCAATGCAAAGTCATTTTGGTCACTAACTGCTGGGTTCTGGATGCAGCTCCCTCTGCACTGATGACCTCAGGATTTTGGAGTTTCCTTCTGAGTGATCCCAGTTGACCAGAAAGTTACAGAGCAGCCCTGCAAGTTTTGTGCCATTCTCAACTCATCTTTCAGTGATGCTTTCCAAGATGCCAATCAAATTGTCCAATCCCAGCAAGTACCCATCCTCCCTGTTGCCTTCTTGCCAGGGGATCCTGTGATCCAGTGTCTGCCCATCAGGAAGAAGGGTGGTCTTTCCAAAATCAATCAGCCACACATTGGCGTTCCCACTGCCATCATGTACAAAAAGTAGTGAACTGCCAACGACCTGGAAGACAGACAGAGATGCTGCGGTTAAAAACACATCTTTAGCTCTCCTCCATCACTTAACATTTCCCGCTAAGAAGATGACCTCCTCAGATGACCTTCTCACCTGTGACCCAACAGACTTTTGGGTCTTATACACTGACAATTTACACGCCCCATTTGCATAACCGTATCAAATCAGTAACATATAAATGGGCACGTAGATGGGAAAAGGGACCTTGCAGACAAAGAGAAGGAAAGCAATTCTCCAGCTCACTTGGCAGCAGGACCAATTTGAGCTAGTCAGCAAAAGCCTGAGACTACTTTCAAAGAGAGACCATGACCTATGATTAACAAAAATGCCTCTCCTGGTAAGGGGAAATCAACAATACAAAATAAAACATCTGATCTTGAAGTCCTGAGCTGTAACAAACAGAACTTACAATGCTGATGATGCCTTCTCCACAGCAAAGCATACAAGCAGAACACATAGAGCAGAATTATACAGCGTTTTAATGCAAAACCAGTGTAACTAATAAAGCCTTCATTGTCACCTTACACCTGAATGCTACTGTACCAAATGCAAGCTTCCACATTACCACTTTCTCATAAAGATTCCCACTGGAACACACCGAGATTACAGAAACCACAGGAAACTGGTACTAATAAACCATTCCCTGCAGTGCCCCAGAACTGCAAGTGCTGGGATGTTATAAAGATGGGAGGATTTATTATTCCTCAAGTGGTTTAATCTCCTGTATCATTGTGATGGAGGCTTTGAGGTATCTGTGTTGTTAACATGTATTAGCCGTCTTCTACTACGAACTCCTTTCAACTAGTACAGCAGGCTGCCCTGAAGTACACCTGAACGACCAAACGAAGCAGCAATGCACCTCCACAGCACTACACTCGCTGCTCACCTCATGTCGCTTGAAGAAGTCTGAGGATTCAAGAATGATGTGAATTTCCTGCAGACGCCTGAGGTATTTTTTCTGCAGGAAGAGGAGAAAAACACAACCCATAAATATTTAAGTAAAGAATGAATTAAGATACTCCGATTACAAGAGTCAATACAATGTAGAGATCAGGTAAATTTTAGATTAGAGGTCCTTCAAAACAACAGGTTCATCACTTGAAAGTAAATCTGAAGATACACTTCAACAGGCTTTCATACTGAACGAACAGACTGGAGCTCTTCTGCTGCATGTGTTACACCAAACAGAATTATCTCTCTTGCTTTGAATGCAGTGAGACAGCGTCTGGCTGCACACTTTCTGCATCCCCTTTTTTTGCCTTTTTAATAAAGAGGAAAAAAGTTTCAAGCAATTAAAAATCTTCCAGTCTTCCACAGCGAAAAGAGAATCAAATTGTGTTAGAGACAAGAAGCTCCAACCACGGGGTGGGGGAAAGAAAAAAATCACAGCCTAAGGCATAAAGCTCTAGTATACATTTGTAATGCTGCCTTGCGTTGCCGAGCATGCTCCTCCTGGAGGGCTAACCTGCTCTGTCAGGGCTGACACGCTGCAGCGAAACGCTATGGCATCTTCTGAAGTTCCAAAGACAAAAGACACGTTATGCCTGGGAAGCAGCGTACAGGAGTTGCTCCGAGGCGAGTCTCTCACATGCAGGAGCACAGCCAGCCACCGATCTCACTTCCTGCCCCCATGCTCTGGTTTTATCCTCTCCAGACTGAATACCCACATCACACGCCTTCCTGCCAACACAAGCCCTGCTCAAACATCATCATCCCTCTGGTGCATTTAACACTCATGGATGAAGCTGATGGCAAGCCGTAAGTTAGCTTGACTGACATTTTGCTAGCATGAAGAACTTGAGGTGAACTCGTGGCCAAGAGCTGATGGAACTGGTCTCAGCCAACTACTTCTCACAGCCCACCAAGTGCCCATGTCCACCCCATCTGCTGAGAGGGACTGGAAGTCCAAACCAATGTCATCATTGGTAGTTAAATTGATTATTCTCGTACCAGAGGAAGCATGGCCCTGAAGCAAGCTTATTGGGTGAAAGATCAGTGAACCTGAAGAGTTCAGACTCACCAGAATAGTTGTGTTGCCCTCAATGAATTCCACAAAAACCTGTAGAACTTGCTCCTGTGTCTTCGTAGTTTTGAAGTTTGTGTTACACGATCCATCCGCCTTCTGCACAAAAACTCAGAGAGACGATTTATGCCACACACGTACCGTTCCCCTCATCCGTCAATCCTCTTGAACCATCAACAGCCCAGCTCTTGCTAACCAGATGAAAGCAAGTAGCTGAACAGGAAGAGAGCAGATAAACCATGCACGAAGTGGAGGAGAGCAGACACCAGAGCTGACTGGGTAACTGTCAGTGGCACTTCACTTCCTGTGGAGCGCAGCCGAAGAAAAACAACCCATGCTACCACCAGCCTGCAGGAGGGTTTTCTCACATGGCAGTACTAGCGGTGCAGAGTTCAACAGGGCAAACCACAGTGACCTCTTTGGTTGTTCTCTCATCTAGCCTGCTGTAGTCAAACCCTGGCTGGGGGTGTAAGGGGACATTTTGAAACCTAATTTTACTAGTCCTTTTTTTGTTTGTTTGTTTGTTTTTCAATGGGGAAATCAAAGAATTGCAGTTAAGACTCAGTTCCCAATACGCCTTTGCACATTAATGTGACCCAGAAGTCACAGAATGGAAGGCTAGTTGCAGCCAAAAACAACTCTGGATTTGCAATGCTAGCAGCGACAAAGCAGGTGTGTGAATTTCGGTAAAGAACATGTGTGCATGCTTGTATCCCACTGGGTCCTGGAGAAATTCAGAGTATTTTTGTGCTGGTGGTGTGAGTCAGTACCGAAGCATCCTGCTGCTGAAAGAACAAGTCTTTTTATGTGTTGGTAGTGACCAGTGTGTGCTTGTGGGGCTAGAAGTACATAAGAGCAGTGTGCAAATCAGAGATATCTGTCAACAGAGACTGTATGCATTTCTGCAAGAACACCCCTGTTGCTTCAAGAGACACCAATACGAGCTTCTAGGACATGCATGTAAAATACAGCAGTTATTGCAGTTGGTAGCCTGTATCCACTAAAAGCCTGCACTTCTTCACTCTGAGGGAGATGAGGCACTGGACTGAGCAACCTGGGCTGGTGGAAGGTGCCCCTGCTCATGGCAGGGGGGATGGAACTAGGTGATCTATAAAGGTCCCTTCCAACCTAAACCATTCTGTGATTCTGTGAAGATTATCAAATTGTATTCCTCTTCCTCGTATCAGTCCAGCAAAATCCCTCATTGCCATTATAAGAGTGAATCAACAGATCATCAAAATGTCTTCCCTCCCACGTGTTAAAAGTCAGTGCACCAAAACCAGGTAAATTCAGCTCCAGCCTCAGCAGGTGAAACGCTATTTACTCCACAGCAAAACTCGGCCCCTAGTATATACATGGCAAAAATCTGATAATGCTAAATTTTCAGATTTATCATGCAAAAGAATGAACTGACTGAATGGCAAAGCCATGCAGAACCACCTCCCATCTACCAGACTTTCTAGCAGCAGAATAAACAGAATTTTATTCCACGGCTGCGGGCCAGATACAAGTGTGGCATGTCAGCCTGATGAGATGTGGAGTGGAAAAGAGCATTGCAGGGGTTAGGCAGTGAAAGTTAGGAGCCATCTGATCTAATGTATGATAATACTCAACAGCACACAGAAATCTGAAACTTAGTCTGATGCCTCGTACCTCTTCACTGTAGTAAGGTTGTTTTAAAAATAATTGCTCTGGGATTTGGGGTATGGGGAGAAAAGTCTGGAATAGCTGCTGTGTGTTTCTTTTTCATCCTTTTTTGTCTGGACAGACTAATTGCTTGCTTTCCTCTTGGTCAGAAACATTTTTATGATTTTTTTCCTTTGCAGTGGTTGGTAGGAAAACACATCTGCTTCCTGACTTCACTGGATGTAAACATCATCCAGATGTTGAGTGGCACCATCCCTTGTACTCTGTACCAGGTCCTTGCAACAACCCTGGGCGTACCCGATCTCCAGGAGGCGCTTACCTGACCTGCTCCTTCGAGTCACACCTTTGTCGGGGCCTCCACACATGCTCCTGCGCAGCAGAGCAGCCCGTTGCACAGAGCAGCTAGCGGGCCACTTGCAGCACTCCCCACTAGATGTGACAGTGACACGGCTAGCAGGAGGGCAGGTCTGGCTGCTCCATGACATAGTACTGCCTATCTTAACCTGTGTGGTCTCGCTCAGAGTCCTCTGCAGACTTTCCTTACAGGGCTCTGGGTTAAGGTCGTGACCTAAACGGATTCACAAAGATCTATGAATCAGATCTGACGTCCTCCTGGAAAAACGGCTGTCCCTGATCTACAACTAAAGGAATGGTACCAAAGGCAGAAGTAACTTCCCAAACTGCACAGAGATTCAGTGACAGAATGAGAAGCCAGAACTCCCTCTCCCTTCTCTCTACTCTGCAAAACTATTAGCGTTGTGGAGACAATGTTTGTGATGCCTGGCCTTCGGACAGCCCCTTGCAGAGAGGGAACGTGCACTCCGAATCTGGCAGGCACAAGAGACAGAGTCAGGTGCCAGTTGTCATGAAACCCAATGGTTCCAACTATTTCTGGTAAGAGGAAGAGGGACAAATCCCCTAAGTGAATCTGGCCTGATTTCAGAGACATGGAAGCAAGGCAAGGAAAAGACATGGATCAACCTAAAGAGAAAAGGCATCCCACTGATGAAGGAAGAATGCATATAGTGTATCAGATCTCATTTAACTAGCAGCCACTTCACAGAAGGGCTCCTATGATTTCAGTTCCTTTGCTTCTGCTTCTTACTGCAGCAGCCAGAGGGCAGGAATACTTCTGAATGACCAAAGCCAACATATCTGCCCAACTAACTCCAGGAGTTATCAGTGCACTCAGGGAGAACAACCCCTTTTTCCCATCAACCACTAGCTGGCACCACTGATCCTCACAGGCTCTCCCCTCAAAACTCGGACCTCTGCAGCATGGCTTTGCTTTTCTGCAAATGTACAGAACTGGATGCACAGTTCACCTACAGGGAAACAGCGCAGGGACTACTGACTAGCTGTACTGCTTGAACAACTCGCTTTCTGTCACCATTTCTCCATGTAAAAAAATAAGAGAATAATACCTACACCCCTCACAACAGCACAAGACGACAGAGCAAAAGGTAGCAGACTGCAATACTCCAAAGCATGTCCTGAGCTTAATAAAAGATTAGGTATTTGTGTCCTGTTTTGCACAGTTACAGCATTGTCTCAACAGAGAGAAATATCATGTGGCCTGCATGCCATACTGCTCCTACACACCTCTGATGATCAGCCGAATCACAAAGAACAAGCTAGGAGGTTTTACTGGAGCTCCCTTAGCTCAGTCACCCTCCAAGACTCAGCATAAATCTGTAAGTCTTCTACGCTGACCAATTATCTTTCCAAGAACATATGTTAAAGGTCTCAAGATCATCTGGGTTTCTGATTCCATTACATTACATAGAGCATCCGAAGATCTAAGTGGTATAGGAATAAAACAGGAATCTTGATAGCATCATTAGATGGCTAAAGGGGTAAGACAGGAAGCATCTTGGCTGGCCTGGAGCCGGATCATCTACCACTCAGACAGTCCCTGTGTGAGGACGCCTGCGTCTAACAGTCAGGAGTGGGTGGCACAGCATACAGGTGGCCAGCACAGCATGAGCTGGAAGCCCTAGTTCCTGTGTTGCAGCAGGAGATTCTGTGAATGAGGAAGGGAGAAGACAACACGGAAGCAGAGAAGCAATGGGTGTTTAAAGAGCCTCTGCTCGTCAGCATCAGCCTCTTTTATCCCTTTCTCTTTCCTATGTGCTTGAACTATGAAATCGAAGCAAAACTCATCCAGATCATAATTTACAATGTCCTAACATATCTAAATTAAATGTACATGGTCTGGGAACATCCTGAAATCACACAGGGTAACACACGCTAACTTCTTCATAGCTGTCCTGTCAAGGGCCTCAGGTAACAAGTACTCACCCAGGGTGTGGGTGGGTTTGGGCAGCCCTCACCGCGCTCTGTGCTGCAGCTGGCACCCTGCTATCTAAACCCAAGCAAACGAGTTTAAGGCTAGCTGTGACAGGCCTATGCAAGCAGAAAGCATGCCTCTGGATTCCAGCAAGTGTTAACATTCAGGTAACTCAGCCAGGTGGCTGCTACTCAGAGTAGTTCCTACTGGGTTTCTGGGTAGGTATCCTGACATTGCCATGGGGCACAACAAATACAAATAATTAATGGGTAGGGAAGAAAATTGGCAGGGTTCTTCTGTGGCTGTAAGATAGTATCCTAGGAACGGTGTAGGGGCACAAACTTATCCACCAAGAACAGCAGATGGACTTTGTTGATGGAGTAATTTTATTTTCGTTTGTTTTGGCTTTACTCCAGCTCCATCTATACCAGGTATTGTCATGTACTTAACAGGAAAAGGGGTTTCCTCAGTCCTGAGAATATCTAAGCTAAAGCTTTTAACATGTCTTGCAAATAAACGTAACAGGAACACCACCACTTTACTGCAATTCACTTGGAATAAATATGTATAGTTCCAGGATAAAAAAGGTAATTGCACAGGGAGAGGCAGTTATTTCTTCAGTTCTGAACTATTCCTTGTAACAGGCTGACTTTCATTGTATCTAGACTGTGTACCTGCTGGGGCTGCTCCTGCGATGTCTCTGCGGTTGAACGAAGTATGGCTGACGTGCATTTGAAGGTTAACTTTATTGACACCGCTCTGGTATAATTACTATGGAAGCTTTAACACCACAATACACTGAACTCTGTGGTTTTCATTAGTGCTCTTTCACATAATCCTTTAGAAAACTTGGCTACTGATGTGCACTAACCTTTTGATTAATCAACAAATCAAACAAAGTTTGTTCTCCAAGAACACGCAGAAGTGAAACTATTACCTTAATCCCTTCAATCCTGAAGCCCAGGTTTGCACTAGAGCTGATGGTTTCCCTCCACTGCATGTATCGGGGTTTGGTGACAGCATGCTGCGCATTCTCTTCAGCTGTGGGAGCAAGAGGATCCACTTCAATCATTTTCTTGTACATGTCCTTACGCAGCTTTGGTTTCTCACGGGCCTTAGTCAACTCTTCCTCCAGGTACGTCCTGCAAAAACATCACAGCCCACCAAAACTGTAAGGACTCCCCAAACTCTTCTTTTTACAGCTTATAACCCAGCCTCAAGAAACGTCAACTAGGAAAATAGGCATTATTATTACCCCGGTTTTGCATATGGGGAAACTAAAGAACACGGACTAATCACTGCACAGGCATATTTAGTGAAACAGTTGCAAGAATCAGGAATTGCATCATTCACTTCTTGTTCTAACTATACCTTTACTTACTGTCAGATGTTACCGTTATGTCCTGCTTACAGAATGGGAGAAAGCTGAATTCCTACTGTGCCATGAAACAGAACTGTATTTTCAAAGGACAGTTAGGCAGGATCACTTACAAAGAAATCAAAAGCAAATACGGCTGCTGAAGTCTTACTGTTTTCTCTCTCCGCAAAAAAACCTAAAGTCATGTGTGACTTTTTTTAGGCCTCAAAAAGCAACTAAGGTTTTGCTTAATGCATCAGACAGTGAAAGATAGAATCACTCTTTATACAGCAAAAAAGAAACAGTGAAGCAGATTATCTGAGCAGCTCCAAACCAGAAGAGGTAACCAAGAACGGGAAGGTGAAGGCTGACAAACCTTCCACATTTTGCTGTTAATCACTCAACCAGTTAGTCTGGTAACCACCAGAAACGCACCATCCAGGTTCCCTGCATTCCACCAGACCCCTAGCCCTCGTCTCTCCACAAAGCTTGCACTTTGTCAGGCACCTGGAGTGTACTGTCTCCATCACAGTGTAATAAACCAAGCTGGTCTTTAGGAGATGCTGTCGCTCGTTACCAGAACATTACCTACTTTGAATAAAATACGTACTGCTGCAAATCCTTCTCCTCTTTCTTCTGGGCATATCAGTGCTACCCATGTCTACTCTGATTTAGCTGACAATTGATTTAAGATTCTGAATCTATTTAAAAAGGCTTGCCTGCCTTTCTGTAAGTTAACTCATTTATGACAATAAATCTTGAACATCTGAGCTGACACCCAAAAGGTTACTATGACAATTCATATCTCTCTGTACTGTTACTCCAGGCTCTCAACAGATTCCTCATCTATTTGTTATGCTTAGATAACATTTTTGAGATTTTCCTCTTAATCACAGACATGGAAAGGAAAAGAAAGTGAGAATCTGGAGAAGAAGGTGATATCATCATAGAGATGTCAGAGTAGGGAAAAAACACAAGTTGGTCCTGAGCAGATGGGCAACTCTTTTCTTTACAGACAAGATCAATACCAGCGAAGACTCATTCAAGCACTGGAAATTGGCTTTCACCCTGCTATTCAGTCAATCACATTTGGAGACGGAAATTTTACTCTTTGTGGGGTTTTTTGAATCACTGTGTACTCAAAGATTAAATGAACTGGCAGTGAATGAATCACATAATTTTTTTGCCCATGTATTATCAGGCCGCTGCAGGGAAACTTTGTCTTTAATCTCCCCTGAAAATATCTTGATGTGGATAGTTCTCGAGGCTATGGATCAGTCAATTTATAGAATCCATGCACAATCAGGCAACAATGGGACATATTCTCCTCAGGCTGTCCAAGGCAACTGCCAAACCAAAACCAGGTCCTGGACTGAATCCCAAGGCTCCAAAAATGTTACCAAACTCTTCCAGACGGAGCATGACCACATGCCTCCCTTCCCCTGCCCCGCCCCCTTCCTTCAAATGCGTTTGGGTTAGAAAGCACTTTCTCTTTCATGTAACCCACCTGATCCCCATCTTGCAGTCCATCACACACGGCCCTTCAAAATCAGTAAGCAAGTCATCCAGCTGAATGTAGCTCTCACCATCTCTCTCCACCACGCCATGGAAGCAAGGGACACAGGAGCGCAGCGGGTCTTTCATCAAGCGCTCGAAACACTCCTTTTCATTCTCTGAGAAGCGTTTGAGAATCTTCCCACTATCAGCTGCCTTGAAACTCCCTTAAAAATATATATATATATATTAAACGCATGCTGACAAGACTGACCCACAAAAAAGAAAAACACCTTCCCCTCCAGCTTCACCTACCTCAGCCTCAAGATACCAGTTAAAGATTTCCCCTCTACCCCAGAGAAGATAACATGTTTTTCATAAAAACTAAAACACCCAGGACAAACACAGCCGTTGACAGCGAAAGTCCGTTTGGATACATTCCCATGTCAGAATTTGTAGCTTTAAGGAGTGCAGCTGCTCCAGGCCATCAGTATTTTTTTCCATGCTAAACTCTGTCAGGGTATTAAACACTACTATACTTATTAAAATGCACAGGAAGAAGCCACAAGCCAGAATTCATTAAACCTCTGACAGGCTATTTTAAAGCTGCGTAACACTGCCAGCGTCGGTTTTGCCCTTAATCCTCACACAGGGTACACCTGCAGAGTGTGCACGTACTGAGGCGGTGGGGTCAGTTGGTGATCGCTAAACAGCCACCACCAGGCCAGAAACCAAGCACTGCCCTTTCTACACACACGCACACACACGCACACGCTGCGACTGCGCGTGCTTGCGCCTCCGGGCACTGCCTCTTCTCCGGAGCCCTGCTAATTGGCAGGTACAGCCTGTAGCGCCGCTGTTTTTTACAGCCCTGTGTCTGAATGGTATCCAGTACAAATGATACTGTTTTGCATAGACCAAGGCTGGCAGTAATCAGCCTTCAGTTGTGGAAGTCGTTCTGCTGTCCTGCAACCTGCCCGTAACATCTGAGGAAAGTACACGTTTCATTCAGAGGTACCCTTTAATCTACACAGCATAAAATAGGTGCCAGAGTAGGAGCCTCTTTAATCCCAGGGCTAACACTTCAACTTTTCTCACAGCAGGATCCTTCAGCCATTGCAAACTGGTTCTCCTCTGACAAACCCTGTAACTGGCACGGCCTCAGCACAAGGGTGAGGATGGTGATGGCCCACATTTTAGTTTAGAAAGAACTTCTCATATCAGAGGAGAACAACTGCAAAAAGGATGGACTGAATGCAACCACAGAAAACTATCTAAAGCAAAGTGGAGCAAAGTATCTCTCCTCATCAGCTTCTAGCAACCTCTAACCCCTGCTCTTCCACCCTACTACACAAGCCTCCAGGAGGGTTATGATTACACGACCAGTGCGTCACTCCACACAGATCAAGCTAACCCCATACACACTGTGATAAAAACCAGAGTAAGACTGGGTCATCTTGGCACTCTGCGTGATACAGGTCAGCCCCGCAAACATCAGCGTGCAAAATGCAGCTACTCCATCCTTAGGACTAAATAAATTTCTCTGCACAGCTTTGAAGTGCACCATATTAGCGTATTAGCATATAACAAGGTGGTTCAGGTACCGCATTAAAGCACGATGCAGCGTAGGTGCCTGCCCACATGTGTACTAATAAACCCCACACTAGCACTTTAGGAACAAGGGCTGCATAGGAATTAAATGAAGCACAAAAGAAGCAAACCTGATGACTTCTCTTTGTTGTTCTTTTTGTCTTACCAATGAAGCAAAGCCTGCATCACGAGTACACTTACCAGCTTCCACAGACACAAAACTAAAGCCAGCCGACTGAGCTGCTCCTTGCACTCATACAGGGAACAATGACAGACTCTCAATGCAAACACCTGGTCAGCAAGTCAGTTTTCACCAGATTTTATTTCCACCCAAGGGCATACATTCGGCTGAGGGGTTTGGGGTTGGTATTAGAAACACTGGCCCTGCCAGGGCTGAGGCACATACAGGCACAGACAGTAATCCTTCCCACTGAGGAACTAATATATTGGCCACCCAGTCAAGAAAGACCATCCCATACCCCAACCAACAGCAACAGATGGACTAGGGCTTCAACTCCCCAGCCCCTTGCTTCCCTCTCATACGTATTTTACATATATCACCTTACAGGGATGCATCAGGAGCCTGGCTCTTCCCCAGAGTCTGACCATTGCTTCCCGTGGCTTCCTTGCTCATCTCATTATTCAGGTATATCCGTCCCCCTTCCCTATCCCCACCACAACTGATGGAAAGATGTTCTAGTTCACAGATTCACGTGCTATTGCCCGCTTGCTTTTACCTGAAGGAATGCAATAGAGAAACACTGTTTTCCTTGCTGCTGCCATCCCTACTCCAGAGACAAACACACTGAGGAGCTTCATCTCACCTGTATGCCCAGCCAACTGCACCCATGAGTAGCGTTTCTTGAAGGGGCTGATAACTGGTAAGTTAACCATGGTTTTAATTGTATGCCATGCCTTTTTCTGGAATACAAAGAAAAGAAACATTAAGTCGAGCAAAAGCCAATATCATGACATGCCACAAATGTACCACATAGCAACAGTTCAAGGTGCACGAAGCTAACTGATTTGTACGTGCTCAAAGGCAGAACCACAAAACAGACACTATGATTGCCATTGGAAAAATATGCACATAAAACCAAGAACGGACAAATGCTTTAAATATAATGCCCTACCATCAACATGAAAGCTGCCTGGAAGAAATAAGAAAGTGTCACACTACGCGTTACAGGCTTGTTCTTTGCCACACCTGACCCTCTCTGTGTCCAAGTCATGCAGAGTGTGGAAAGCAGATGCTGAATACACACTTAGGCACATTTCAGTTTCCACGAGACACGAACACAGGCTGTTTGCCACTGTCAGCAATACTTCCTTTCCCAGGGAGCTTCAGCATCACCTCGTGATTAACAGCTTTCTCTGAGTCAGCAAGTGAGTCCTACCATGACAGACGCACAGAAAAAGCACCTCTAGTTGGGCACGGAGATTACCCAGGTCTCTCCGCACCTACTGACAGTATGCGGTAGAATCTACTCCAGGTCACAGACTTTCCTGCTCCCTCCCCTCTTTCCCAGTCTGTTACTTTTTAACACAGCCGGGCATTGCTCCAGCCACCTCCGGGTGCCACACAGTGCGGCTGTCTGGACACTGCTGCAGGCAGACAGGGAAACAGAGCAGCTGCTCGCCAACAGCCGCTGAGTGCCGTCGCAAAGGCAGAAAGGGGGGGGGAAAAAAAGCAGAAAGTGAAAAAGCCTCATGTTCCGAAACCAAAGCCTGGGTGGGAGAGAACCACAGCCCACCAGTGCCCATGTTGCGCTCAGAGGGATCCCAAAGTGCTCTACAAACAAGGACAGCAGGCTCATTTCTTCTGCCACTAGAACATGATACCCTGCTGGAGATAAAAATGGAGCTGCACAACGCTTGTGCACAACAATTTAGTGCTCGGGGGTTTTTGCTGAGATCAAGTGTAGCTGGGGATTAGGCTGCATTTACAGAAGCGCTTGTCAATGGCCTAAGTGGGATTCACCAAAATCACTGGGAGGCACTGATTTCACTGAAAACCAGTTTAGGTCACTGCTCAACACCTGAAAAGTCCACCTTTAAAACAACCACGTCTTCTCCAGCAGGGATACCGAGCAATGCTTTAGGTGCTTAGGATACCTGATTTTTATTGTCTTCTACACTATATTTCTACAGAAGTAAAAAATACAAAAAACAAAATGGCAGGCAACGATACACAGGCAAAACATACAAAATGATACAATGATACACAGCTCTCCAGATCACACTCTGAACTGGTCGTCCTTCCCCGAACTTGTTCACTTCTACCACGTTTTTTATAAGGTATCCCCCATCAATGTTGGTCACCATGGGACGGCAAAACCCTGTGGCTATCTTAGAATGCATCAAGAGGATATGAACTCACAGGGGCAAGTAATCTTTCTTTTAAGGCTTTGTCTTCACAAGAAAGTTTTAAGTTATGCTGCAAATTAAACTGACATAACAATACAATCACCACATGAGCATGCTTCTTCTGAAATAAGATTGCTTCTTCCTGTGTAACTTCTTTGGGTTTTGAATGCAATTCAAGCTGAAATGAAGTCACTCTTGGTCTAAGTGCCCCACGCAGCAGTAATACTTTTGCAAACGTACTGTGCCAGTGAGAGGAAGCATCCGAAGAAAATCCTGGATGTTTGACAATCATGAAGACTTGGTTGCACTTACTGCAACCCCACAGATGTTACTAGCTCTAGCTAAACTCCAGTTTCATAACTACCTTCTGCAGGCTTAAATGACCCTTTCGTATTCTATATTACTTGCACTTCATGTTCTACATTACTTGTTTTAGGTCGCTCCAAACCGCAACCTTGCAGTGCAGAGCAGCAACTTGGCTCTACCACAGAGCTATCTGCTGCTTAGCGAGGATGAGACAGATTCCAGCACACCACTTCTAAATGTCCATAGCCTCCTTCAGGAGGCAAGCACAACGTAACTGCTGTTCTTCAAGTAGCAAAGATAAATTACTTTTGTATAGTCTGTTTGCCAGATTTAACTGATACCAGAAGCCCTTTAGTCTACTCTGCTGTTTCTGCTCCAGAGGGACACAGCCCTAACTTATTTAAGGACTCGCTGAAAGTAAACATCGTTTTGAATTAAAATGACCCCTTTGGATGCAACTCCTGCCAAACATTTAGTTTTTGAAGATTCCAGCCCAGTTTTCAGGGTAACACTGCTTGTCCTCCATCCCTTAATCAGAAGTCAGCGTCGCTCCCTAACTCTCCCACAAAGACGCTACACTCCTCACGATGTCCCACCCCTAACAAAGTGCACCCTGTCTCCCAACGACTTCTCATACTGCTGTACCCAGAAGCGACGAGAAGCACAGTTTTTCAAGGAATGCGCATCAACTGTCAATGCAGCACCATGCTCCAGCGGCTTTTCCGCCTCCTCCCTCCCACCCGGCCCTAAGAAGCTACAGCTTTCATTTGTACTGTGGGTGTGAAGGAGAGACAACGGACCAAATTCAGCCCCAGCTCAAGCGGACATTGGCTGCTCAGGTTACAGCTGCCTTGGATGAGTATGTTTAAGCTACTCATCCAATAAGCAGACCCTGACAAATTTTAGGGTTTTTTATGTTATATTAAATAATCTCTTCACAAATATTGCCCCCCCCCAAGACAGGAAAAGCACGAGGCTCAAGCCAGGAGGGAAAGGATTCCCTCCAGACCCACCCCACGGGGCGTGCTGCCATCGGCAGGGTCTCAGCAGTTGCACTTTCCTCTACTGCAACTTCCAGCCTCCCAACTCACTCAACCCAGGATGCAAACTGCCAGGATGCAAACAGGGCTGCATGCTGTTGGAGCAGTGGTGAGTGGGAAGATGAAAACTTCGTGTGCCTGCTGTGGGAGGAATCTTTCTCACTTCTATTTCTAAAGCAAGATCCCTTCCTCTTTGTTAGCAATGGTATTACGTGCTTTTCAAATCCCTGCTTTATGCTGTAATGACAAAAAGGACTGCTACCACTGCCCATCTGTATTTGCAGTCTGTATCTCTCTCGGTCCCTGTTTCTTCTAGATTCCTGCTCAGTCTTCCTTGACCTTTTGCTCTACATGGGTTTCTCCACATCCTCATTTCTTCTAGATTCCCAGCCCGTGCATGCTATTCACATATGTTCAGGCAAAACTCGGATATCTCTGTATCAGGATTGCCTGAATCGGATGCCCTTGATATCCCCAATGCTGTTTTCTATGGCTCTTGTGATCAGTACACTCAAGAGTCTTCCAACAGGAGAAAAGAAACCATTCCAAAAGGGCAAAGAGGCAAATATGAAAAATATTAACATTCTTAGATTCAGCATGCAAGTTACTCAGTGTGAACTGTAACTGACACTCTATATATACCTCCCTAAGCATTAAAAGGTATGGGATGCTTAACAGCAGAAAAGCTAGTTTCCTGCCAACAGGTCAGCCTGTGTGACAGGCTGTGCCACTGGAACCGTGTCCCTGGTAGCAAATGAAGGAAAAATGAGGGGAAGAGAATGAGAGAACCAATTCCTGCAATGCAGCCACAACACATGCAAAGGATTGCGGCTTCATATCTGACACTGATCTGTGTTATCTGGAATACTCTCTTGAATCACTCTTCTGTATTTGAAGCACGGCGCCTGGATACAGGCAGCTGTTGCCACCATGCCTATCCATCAAGCAACAGCAAAAATGAGCAGCAACCGAGAGCCACTGGTTCCTGTGAGCACACGTTTCTCCAGGCCTTTTCTCATGATGAGAGGACAATTCCATAGACTACAAGTATGCAGAAGCACAGCCATGATGATCCTGCCCAAATAAACCATCAAGATTCGGCTGAGGAAAATCCACTAAAGTCACTGGGAGGTGTTCCACCTATCTTAAGGACTTTTGGCTCAGGCCTCACTGTCGCCAAGAATTAATCCACAGGAACTAACCAGCTTCCCTGAAGCCCTCCCACTATTTCAGGACAAGGGCTATAGCATCCTCATAGCCCAGCTCACTGAATAGCTCAGTGTGGACTCCCAGAATTGGGTGGGGGTTTTTTGGTTGCTGCTGCTGTTTTACAGGCAGTACAGAACAACTGAAATCTCTCTCCGAGCACATGCCGAATCCCTCTGGGACAGAGGAGCCACTATGACCCCTAATGGCAATGGGGCATAGGGACCTGAAACTTCCTCTGCTGTTCTGTGGAAAAATAAGTATAATCTCTCCCTTATTTCAGGCTAAAATGAAAACAAAGATCTCAGTTCTGTGAACACCTGAAACACATCTAACTACCCTCAGAAAAGCACTGACAAACCAGCAACACACACACAAACTTCCAGAATTGAGTCCTAAGGGAAGCAGTTACAATAATTAAAAACACCAATCACATCTAAACTAGTACATATGGGGGGGATGACAGTCCTTTTCTCAGGGAAAGGGAAAAAAAAAAAGAAAAAAAATTTATCAGTTTTCATACTTCCAGCATGTTACTTCAAACTATACTAAGTTAAAGAACAAAAGTACATTGAAATGTAATATAAATCAACAGGCTCCCTATAAAAGGTGATTTTTCCACCAGCAACAGAATGGAGGAGTAGGATTCTTGCCTGAGCTGGTAAATTTTCATGGAAATTCTGCTAGACTATAGTAAACAATGACCCTTGAATCCTTTTTCCAGGAAAATTCAGCAGTTTCTTTATCCAAGATCCTGTTGTCTTTTTTTGTGCACTAGTACGAAGCCCACGCAAGCCTACAGAGATCTATTATGACAAAAAAAAAAAAGAAAGGGAAAAATTTTTTTTTAACCCCCCCCCCCCCCAAAAGGCTTTAAGAAAGAGTACTTAATTGTCAGTCATCATAATCTACTGTTCTCTTAAAGTCTTTATATCATGTAGGCTAAATTCTGCCACTCTGGGACATGGGGGCTGAAATCTGATCTGTATTGCTGGTTGCCACTGCCTACTCAGTGTCTCACTAAATCCTAGAAGGAACAAGGTTTCTCCACAGGGACTTGCAAGGAGTACAGAAAACTAAAATCATCAAAAAGTTACTACATGTATTTCAAAATAATCCTCCAAGAGCCATGTGTCCAAAATGCAAAAGCACTGAGCGATACCTTGCCTGGCAACCTCAGCCAATGCAGTGCAAATGAGCAAGCGAGCAGGCGATGAGTGCTGGCCCCTTTCCGGATGCAGTAACCCCAACAACCTGGCTGGAACAGTAACACCTGGAAACTCATCAGACCATTAGCTGGAATTGCCTTCTACGAGCGGGCCCTAGGCTAACACTAAGCATTACTAAACTGGGTATCAGTTATGACTTATCCATGCACACTGTTAGTCATGCTCCAGTGGCTCACCTTTCTGCTGTGAATTTCTTTTTTCTCCCCCTTCTTCTCTTCCTTCTTCCTTCCTGAGTCACACACTAGCACCCGTATTACTCTGATACAACAAATTCTCATAAGGTCCATAAGCTTATTCACAGACCTGTCGTAAGCATCAGTGTAAGCAGGTGGTAAGGTCTAGTCCTGCAAATAGCTCTGATAATATTTGTGCCTTCTAAACTCGTTTTACAATTTTATTATTGTTTCAGTTTTACTTTTTATAGTACATATGTTTACTTAACTCAATAAAACGTTTTTAAAACCTGATGAGTTAACTTTATCTACAAAATCCTTGACTGTTTTATTTACCCGAGTTTATTAAAACCGAAATAAATCAGCTTGAAAACTAGTTTATTTTCTTAATTCTTTATGCCATTTTTACTAAGTCACCTAATTTCATTTTCCAAATTGAATTAATGTATTCAGATTTGTTCTACGTTTTCAGTATTGTTTGAATTGGCTTTGACCTGACATATTTGATCTACGCATACAAAGAACTTAAACGTAGGTCCAAAGCTACTAACCATATTATTTTGATGAACTAAGCCTAGTCCAAACAAAACTCTGCTTTCATCTGTCACACTGCATCCACTACCTGCTGTTACCATAAAAAGCTGCCATAAGAAATCATCTCAAGCAGATCACAACCAAGACAACTACTAGCTTAATTTAATTACCCTGTAATTAGATATGCTTCTCTGTCTGCGTGAATGTAATCAATAACTACAGTACTATAATTACAACCTATTAAAAAAAAAAAATCACAAACACTTGAACAAAGAATCTACTGCTTTGTCAAAATCACAATATTCTACCAACACAAGTTATTATCAGCATGATTTCCCCCAAAGCAATGAGTTTTCCATAGGCACAGCTTCACAGCAGCCAGCTTCAAAGGTTATTAGGGATTCCATTTTTTCAAGGGAGTGCAGCTCAAGGGACAGCCAACCATATAGTTTCATCTCATGGAGAGATCT